CACCACCACCACCACCACCACCACCACCACCACCACCACCACCCGGTCTCAAGATTCTTATGCATAGGCACTGACCTGCTGAGTAATCTTGGCAAAGCCCAGTGACCAGACCTGCACCTGTTCCTTCTCCCTTGTCTCTCCATCGCACCCTAGGCTCCCAGGGGTGTGGTTAGCCCTGAGATGAAGGGCCTGGCCTGTGCACAGTGCCCACACCACTAAGGTCAGAGGCACCAGCTGAGAGGAGGTGGTTCAGGACACTGTTATGAACCCTAGCTGGTCCTCATTTCCTGTATCCACGCCACACTTTGCACGCCGTTTTCCTTCCTGACAACCTACCCTGTGGACCACCCCAAGATTCCGCATCTGACACAAAGAGAAATTTCTAGAGACTATGGAATAAGGTCAGATCCCTACAACAGATATGTACACTCAGGCTTGCGTGTTCGTGTGCTGGTGCACATACATGCTGGTAGAGGCCAGAGGTTAACCTGAAATGAGAATCCCCAGGCATCATCCACCTTCTTTTTATGTTGACACAAGGGTTCTCATTGGCCTGGAATTTACCAGTTATGCCAGGATGACGGGCAGCAAGGGGTTCACCTGTTTCTGCCTCCTAGCGCTGGGATTAAATGAGAGCGCTAACAGACCCAATTTGTTCTGGTTTGTAAGACCCAGGGCCTCACTACGTAGCTCTGGCTGGCCTCAAACTCAGAGATCTGCCCGTTTCTGCTTCCAGAGTTCGAGGATTAAAGGCGTGTGCCACCACACCAGAATTTAAACACTTGGGTTCCGGAGGTGAGCGGGGTATCACACTCAGGCCCTCAGGCTGGCGTGGGAAGCACTTGTCATCTGTGCCAACATCCCCCAGGCCAGGAGCTCTTCACAGAGCTCAAAGCACCCGACGCCAACCTAACTGCGACAGCTCCACGTGACCACGCCCGCGGAGGTGAGGCCCACACTCCTGCAACTGTCAGAAGGTCCCAGGTGTCTCCGAGGGGTCAACACCATCTACCCTGGCATGAGACGTTCCGCATCTCACTGCATCTCCTTGCCAGAGGAAGCCAGCATGGCTGGTGGGAATCCCCCAGGTGAAGCGGTAACCGCTGGAGGCTTAAAGTGCCCCGCCGCTCCCTGTGTGTTTTCTCTCCTGTATCCTGTCGTAGAATATTGGGGTTTTTTGTTTTGTTTTGTTTGTTTGGTTGGTTTTTCGAGATAGGGTTTCTCTGTGTAGTTTTGGTGCCTGTCCTGGAACTTACTCTGTAGACCAGGCTGGCCTCGAACTCACAGAGATCCGCCTGCCTCTGCCTCCCGAGTGCTGGGATTAAAGGCGTGCGCCACCACCGCCCGCTGTTAGAATATTGTTTTAAGGTGTGTTACTTTTGTCACTGCTGTGGAATATTTGTTTTAATGATGCAAAGATGTGTTGCATTCTTTTACGTTGCATTTGTTTAACTCTGTGAAGCTGTGTTACTGTGCCTGTCTAAAACACCTGATTGGTCTAATAAAGAGCTGAACAGCCAATAGCAAGGCAGGAGAAAGGATAGGCGGGGCTGGCAGGCAGAGAGAAGATATAGAAGGAGAAATCTGGGAGAAGAAAAAGGAACAAGAAAAGAAAAGAGAAGACACCAAGGGCCAGCCACCGAGCCTCACAGCCAGCCATAGAGTAAGAGTGAAAATAAGATATACAGAAGAAAAGGAGAAAGCCCAGAGGCAAAAGGTAGATGGGATAACGTAAGAAAAGCTGGCCAGCAACAAGCCAATCGTCATGCCCCGCCCCACCCCATGTGTCTTCTCTCCCAAATCCCTCTTTTCCTTTCCCAGAAATCCAACCCCTGACCACCTCACAAACCACTGCCTTCCCCCAGCTTCTAGTCTTTCACCCTCCATTTTATCTTACCTGCAGCTCCCAAACTGACCTGGAAGAGTGGAACACTTTTCTGTGCCTGGCTTCTTCCCACCCAGCCTACCTAACTTTCCATTCCTCCCCCTGTCAGTCCCATCCTTTAGTCCTTCCTGAAACTCCATCAGACCATGGAAGAACAAAGCAGAAGTCACACAGTCAGTGGTCCCTCCCTGGCCACCTAAACTGTCGGGTTAGCATCCTACCTGTAAGACCCTAAGACCGGTGCTATCTCTTGTCTCATCCCTAGCAAATCCCACCTCCACGCGGCTCTCCTGGTAGAGCATTTGCCTAGCATGAATGGAGCTCTGGGTTCAGTCCCCAGCTCTGAGTAAACCTAGGCGTGGTGGATCAGATCTGTAATCTAAGCACTTGGGATGTAGAGACAGGAGCTTCAGGAATTCAAGGTACATATGAAGTCCAAGGTCAGTCTGCTCTACAAGAGACCTTGTCTCAAAAAAAAAAAAATCTGCTTCCTGCCTGTTACTACTGAAGATTTGTTTATGTGTACGTGATTGTATGCTCTGCTTCCTGCCTGTTACTACTGAAGATTTGTTTATGTGTACGTGATTGTATGCACATGTATGTGCATGAAAGTGTGCAAGCCAGAAAAGGGTGTCGGGTGTCCCTCTCTCTCTGTCTTTTAAGGCAGGGTCTCTCCCTGAACCTGGGATTCACATCTTCTCAACCAGGCTGGAAGCCAGCAAGCCCCAGCGATCCTGACTCTGTCTCCCTCACAGCTGGGGTTCTAGGCATGCACCAGACACCCAGATTGTTACGTGGTGATGAGGTCCACACTTTGGTCCTTGTGGTTGTAAAGCAAGCATTCTCAACTGTTGAGCAGTCTTTCCATCCCTGCCTCCTACTTCTAATAGTGAGCAGCGTTAGGTCTACATTTGTATTCTCATAATTCAGGAGAAGGAAGTAAAATGAAGCAATCACTCTCTGGAGAGTTCGCCCTCTCCTTTCACGTGTAAGCCCTGTGGTGCCTCCACGAACCTCCTCCACGAGCTGAAGGAGGAAGGCTGTTTTCTGGCCCTCCACTCAAAATCAGCCGTAACCAAAGGGCATCTTCACTTCCCCCAGTCAAAGCCAACGCCTGCTCTGTGATACCTAATAAGGCCTTCTCAATTGCCAGGACTCTGCAACGGCATGTAAAGTGGTTTTGAAATTTCCTTGTTGAACACAGAGGATTTCCTTATTCTAAGAGTCTTCTGCTAGCCAGCCTTTAATCCCAGTGCTCAGGAGTCAGAAGCAAGTTGACCTCGGAGTTCAAGGCCAGCCTGGTCTACAGAGTGAGTAGACCAGGAGAACAAGGGTTATACAGAGAAGCCCTGTCTCAAATAAATAAATAAATAAATAAATAAATAAATAAATAAATAAATAAATAAATAAATAAATAAAAATAAAGAAGATTCTTCTGTTTGCATGTTAGACAGAAGGCCCTACAGTCAGTATGTCTGCACTCAAGGCTCCTTTCCTGCAAATTCCAAGAGATACAAAGGGGGACCAAGACACCAGAGGACACCCACCCCATGTTTCCTCTATAACTCCCACTGTGATACTCGTGTGAATATGAGGCATCTGACACCTCTCAAGGCCAAAAGCTAAGCTTTTTACGTTAGTCCCTCACTTTGTCATTTCAGTTACTCACTCACAGGTTAATGTTTCTGTTCCAGTGTTTCCTCCAGATCCCACAGCAGGAATACTCACCCATACTTCTCTGCCAGTTCCCTGGCTTCCTCCTCTTTCACTGCCCTCTGGTCTTCCAGGTCACTCTTATTCCCACACAGCACTATATCTGGGTTCTCACAGTACGCATGCATCTGTAGCTGGCCTGAGACACAGGAGAGTTTGTTATAGTAGTCACGATGTAAGCACGAGACCAATAGAAAATATGTACAAAAGTGCTTCTGAAAACCGCATATGCGCATACAGAGGCAAAGAGCTGATCGACTATTTCAAAACATCGATAATATAATCTTTAAAACTGAATAGATTATTATTCCTGTCCTTAACACACACATCAGAGAGAGATGGAAGAATACAATAACCCTTAAAGTGTGTGTGTGTGTGTTTTACTAATCTTTTTTTTTTTTCTTCTTTTTTTTGGTTTTTCGAGACAGGGTTTCTCTGTAGTTTTGTAGCCTGTCCTGGATCTCACTATATAGACCATGCAGGCTTCGAACTCACAGAGACCCGCCTGCCTCTGCCTCCTGGGTGCTGGGATTAAAGGCGTGCGCCACCACCGCCTGGCTGTGTTTTACTAATCTTAAACCCCTGTTTGTCACTTATTTTATTTTCTCTCAACAGTAGTAATATTTGTAAAGAATTGTCTTTTTGTTTTTTGAGACATCCTGTATCCCTCAAGGCTGGCCTCCAAGGATGCACTTAAATGTCCTTACTGCTCCCATCTCCTGAGGACCTGAATTACAGGTACGTAGTACAGGACAGTTTACAGGGTACTGGAGATAGTAACCAGGGCTTCATGTGTGTTGAACACCTACCAATTGAGCTGGATTTCCAGCTCTAAGAAATATCTTTCTATAATCGAACCTAATTACATCTGAAATGCTTTTCATACTTCTGTGTCCTCCCAAGGCAGGACCCATCTATTTAAAACAATTAAGAAGCTGGGTGTGATGAGGCTGAGGCAAGACGCTCTGTGAGTTCAGAGATAGCCTGGGCTACACAGCGAGACCTTGTCTTACACAAACAGTAACTATGATTTGATGGTTAGGATTCTGCCCTCACTCCAGGTCAGGGTCCTGCGTCTTACGTCATCAGTGTGCACTGGCGACTACGTACATGCCTTAAAAGCCGGACACAGAGCCCATCCTCTGTCTCTGCTCTGCTCCCATCATTCTCTCTCTCCTCCCCAGGCCTGATCCTCTCCTTCTTCCCTCCTAATAAAGCTCTGAAAACTAACGCTGGGTTCTGTCATGACTGTGACCTTTCCACGCGGTAACCAGCACCGTGCGCTGCAGCCAGCACCACAGGCCACAGCCAGCGCCGTTTATCATTCCCTCGTTGATGACATAAGAAGACAGAGTAAATAATAAAGTGACTGTCACCAAGACCAAGGGGAAGCAGGATGTTACAGTCATATTCTATAATTTTTACAACCTTTCCTCTAAAATCCCTTAGCTAGGCTTAATTATGAAAAGGAAGAGAGGGGCTGGAGAGAGGGCTCAGTGGTTAAGAGCACATATTGCTCTTCCTGAAGACCTGGGTTCTGTTCCCACCACCACTCACTTCAGGTGGCTCACCACCACCAGCTACACTGGCCTCCCAGGGCACCTGCACTTACATGCACCTACCCACATAGACACAAGGTTTAAAAAGTCATAAAAATGAAATCTCTAAATAAATAAATATATAAATAAAAATTTAAAAAATAAAAATAAATAAAATATAAAAAAAGAAAGAAAGAAAAAGAGCTCCAGGGTACTAAGTAGCTCCATCTTCCAAAGAAGGAAAATAAAACCCAACAAAACTGGAGTAGCTGAACTTTCACAATCCGAGGTCTCGGAGAGCATGACCCTGTGTGTGTTTTCTCACTATCAGCTAGGAGTGTTGACACTCCAGTTCCTCCCCACAAAGTCAGGTCATACATATCTTATCCAGAGAAGGTGAAGGAGGAGGAAGTTTCCCCAAGCATTAACACAGGCCTGAATTTCAGGATTTTGTTTTTTGCCTTAGGGGATAACGTAGGTCACAAGACCTGCCCAGGCAAGATCAAACTGGGCCCTGTTTCCTGCAAAAGCCAGGCCTCCTCTCCCCTTAGGCTGTTAGTGTGCCGTTCCCACACTCTTTAATGCCCAGACACAACTTCCTTCAAGATTGGCTCCATTGTCTCCTCCGCTGGCCTCCTCTGTGCTCTCTTAGCACCTTCCATTCCCATGGTTACGAGCATCTCCTAGGGTTGAAGCAGGACTCTCTTGCCCTGTTGCTGGCTGTGCCCACCACCCCCACCCCCATCCCCATCCCCATCCCCAGAAGTTATATGACCACCTTAGCTTCCTTATCTATAAATGATCTCAACAGTACTTACTTCCCAGGGTCAAGGGGAAGATTAACTAACACTGACTCTCTGGGTAAGGTGTGTGTGGGCTAGCAGCCTCAGCATCCCCTGAGAATTTACTGGAAATGCAAATTCTAGGTCCTACCCAACATCTACTGACCAGGAACACGGATGTGGGGGGACCACCCTCCAAGAGACTCAGTTAATAAACCAAAGCACTTCTAAGACTGTAAGTAACAGTTCATACTGTCTATGTTGATGAGTCTCTGAGATGTCATTGTTCTCTCTCTCTCTCTCAAAGATTTTTCCAGGCAGGGTTTCTCTATGTAGCCCTGGCTGTCCTGGAATTATTCTGTAGACCAGGCTGGCCTTGAACTCACAGAGATCCTCCTGTGTCTGCTTCCCAAATGCTGGGATTAAAGCCATTTGCTACCATGCCCAGCTGAGGTTATTGTTCTCATCTCTAAATTTTTGTAATGAAATTTATGAAATAATTTCATAATGATTCATTATTTCATAAAATAATGAAAACTATGAAGTAATGGGTAATTAAATAAATTAATCAGTTATCTGAAATTTTTCTCTAAAGAAGGGCATACCTAAACACCTGCAACCTGAGGTGAGATATGATAAAGATCAGATATGTGTTAAAAGAATAAAATAAAATAGCAGTCATTAATAAGAGAAGAAGTATTCCTGCTAAGATGATCATGGAAAATTTCATGGAAGTTATTTCTTTCCGGGTTTTAAAAAAATAAACGTAACTTGGAGTCTGGAACAATGGCTCAGTGGTTAAAAGCACTGGGTGCTTTTCCAGAGGACCCGGGGTTCTAGTCCAGCATCCACATGGTGGGTCACAACTGTCTGTAATTCCAGTCCCAGGGGATCTGATGCCCTCTTCTGGCCTCCACAAATACTGCACACATGAATGCACAGCCATGCAAGTAAAATACACACATAAAATGAAAATGTAAATAAGTAAAAAACAAAAAACAACAACAAAAAAAAAACCCTCTAACCCATCAGAAAGATGGGAAAATAGAGGGATTTACAACAGAGTGAGAGAAAAACGTTAAAAGTGAAGAGGGAAATGTGTGAGTTTGGAGGCTTAGACTACCTAAAAGTTCTGTTAGGAATCAATGTTAGAATTCCTGGCCACTCCCTTGGCTACATGACCACACATGCACTGTTCAGTAGCCAGGCAAGATGCTTAGTCATCCTGGGGCCTTAGTCCTACATAATCCATGTGCTGTGTGGTCAGGTAATCCATGCGCATGCGTGGTGTAGCTATGGAAGCCCATATGCGCATGTGCGGGGTGCAGGAGGGGGGACCTATAAAAGTGGGTTCCTCCTATTCCTTCCCTCTCTTTCTGTAGGATCGCTCCATAGGCTATGCACACCCCCTCTTTATTCCCTTAATAAACTCGTGTAGTGGGTTTTGTTGTGCCTCGTGACTTTTCTCGCACAGTAAACAGCACCACTTAATAAATAACACTGCGCCGCTTAATAAATCACAATCATCCTGGCTCTAGACATGACCTGCTCATTCCTTTAACTTCAGGAAGACAGACGGTGACCCAATTCCAATCATGTGGGCCCAGAGGACTCAGCACTCTGTTCAGGCTCCTACACAGGGCTGGCTCACCTCTAGGCTCTTCTCACCACCCCCAACTCCCCACCCCCCACGGTTCCCACCCCGAGAGGACATGGAAGGATTCCCAGCAGAGATAGGGTAGCTCCAGGGGAGCAAAGGAGAGAAGCAGGGGATGTCAGTCATCTGCGGCCCTAAGC